TATTAATGAAAACTTGTAAATAGATATTTTTTGAGTATACTTTTGGTTCGGTTGTGTATGATAAGACTTACAATGTTAGGTTCTTCCAAATCCTCTGCTATCTGTGAGGCAGACTAATTTCATCAATCATTCATCCACATTTTACCTTTCAGTCAGAACTACAGGAGGACAATTCTGGCACATCTTTAACCTCGCCCGCATTTGTAAATCATAAACCCTCCATTACTCCATCAGAGGAGGCGGACGAATCGAGCAGCGAGTTCCTCGTAGTTCGTTTACTCCGGTACGAATCCCTACCAGCCTGTCAGGTCCCTCCTATGCTGCAGGTTAGAGTTCGCCTGCCAGGAACCTCTGCAACCACCACATCAATGCTGCCTGATGGACAGAGTAACCAGCAGCAACAGCACTCCCCCACACCCCGAGAAGACTTGGCTGCTGGATGCGAGGAGGTCGGAGAGGCAACTGTTATTACTATAGACCCTCATTTTGATGAAATTTTATCTTCTCGTGTACCAAAAGAAGATAAGATGCCAGTCGGACTCATTCGCAAGGCTTCTGCTACTCTCCGGCCTCCGATGACTAGCTGCGCTTTGCCCGTGGACGAGATAAACCCAAAGCTTTTAATTTCTTCATCCCGGAAGGGCTTTCCTATCCCCAAAATTTATCAACAGTTTCGGCGAGAAACCTTGGTACCAGTTGGACATACTAATGATGCAACTATCGATCCGATTGAGCGAGTACTTAGGGTAGCATCTGGTGATCCATATGAAGAGGAAACTTTCGGCGGCAGCTTTTTAACTGGTTTGCAGGGTTCGCCAACCGACAGACCTGGGCAGAAACTGAGGCCGGCTGGATCACTATCTGGGGCTAGACAAATCACACACGAAGATGTTCGTATGAGTAGCATTTCCTATATCTCTAAAAATATTAACTCTGAAAGCATATTGTTAGTATATTAATTATTATCTTCTCTGACGGTGGTCACTTTTTATTAAATTAGATAAAGAAAGTCATTTATGAGGGATTTTTACTTTTATAAGATTTCATAATTTAATTTGAGCCTAAACATTATATTTAGCAAGATGTAATATTCAACAATTAAATCAATTAAATTAAAATTCCATTACAATTTTTTGACGATAGATAATTTGTGCTTCTTGCCAAAGAAATATATGCTTATGAATTTTATAATGTTATCTCCACTTACAAATACTATTCTTATTCAATGATGTATTACATGCCATTGCGACGTGAGTATTTACTTCTTATCTTCCCTTTGATTAGTACAGGCCCCTGTAGATACCATATATCAATCCGGCCTTTTGATGAAAATAAAGAGTTATAAGAGTCTTTCCTATGCCATGCAAGACAACCATTTAAATTTTCATCAACTTCAAACTTTTTTCCATTCATTTATATATGTATTCGTATTTTATTTTAAACGCATCGAAACATTTAAGGTCTATATTTTAGTTTGTGTCATTTCTCTTCTTAAACCAGCTGACGCCAACACATCGTCTCCTTATACATGACGTAAAGTTGCGCTGGAATGAGGCAAATCGAGACCTTGTCTACACGATGATGGATACCTACCAGCATGCACGAGCTCTAAAACGCAACCTTTCTTCTCAAGCAATCCGAACCATCAATCTGCAGCCGGTTAATGGTGCTGGAGTTGGCACTAGTGGTGAAGTTGGTGTTGGTGGTGGCCATTTTGGAGGCGGCACTCTCTTTAACTCCCCAAACGCTGGACCAGCCACCTTTAACTCTTCCGCAGGACTTGTACCCGCGTCTGCTGGAGCCACAGCCGTTATGGGGCAGGTTGGATTGGATTCACCCAATGAGACTGCCTCGTCTGGCAGAGCCATTTGCACAGCGATTCAGTCACAAGAAGCAGGTTTTTCATCTGATCCAATGTAAGTAGTTGCGAGGCATATGCTGATTATTTTAGGAATGAAATAAATCTTTTGAATCTGATAAAAGCACATGCTCCAATTGTTAGCTTATTCTCACTCCGATAGGCTATCTCAATGTACTACATATCAACATCGCTTTTGCTTTATCTTGATAACTCTTGTGCCTACGTGTGTATCTCCGTATATATATATATATATGCATGCGCGTATGTTCATGGAGGTACATTGGCTCCAATATTTTCATGTTCAACAATTTTTTTGAGGAAGAGGTCAACATAAATTATTTCCCCAGATGTTGCGGTTAAACTGTACCATGTTTATACTTTCTCGCTTCGCTTGCTTGACTATCAAGTCGACACCATCATTTAATCATTGTTCCTATTTTCTTTGGGAATGGGCCATCACTTGTATGAGATCGGCGTTAAAATAGTGGTAAAAATTACATGTCTCTTCATTCTATTTTTTCTTATTTTTCGTATATAGGTAGAGTTTCAAGACTACCAGTAAATCAGTAATATGAGATGAATTCACCCTATTTTGCTTAAGGTGATGAAGGACTGATAGTGGAATTTTCCCACAAAGATATGAGTAGAGCTGACGTTAACATTTAATTTCCCATAGCCTCGCTTTCCCAAAAGGTGTTCTCATCCAGGGTGGACGGCGCTGCGGATTCAGATCACGCCATTTTTATTATCTTAAAAAAGCCTTATCTCATCATTCGTCCTCACAGCGCCTTTGTCGTTTTTCGTGCTCTGCCTCTAAACGTAGCTTGACTTGATTGGATTGTCGGACTGATCGGGATCAGGCACGTTTCACCTACTATTGCAGGATTCTCATGTGTAGCTATAATCTGCTCTATGGCTCCTTTGAAGTAAAACATCTCTATTGTATAGTTCATTAAAGATAGTATCCTGATTGGCCTGACTTTACCAAAGTCATTTGGATCATATATCCGTACAGGATTCCGTATAATCTGGTCTTGACATCTCTTGTGTGTAGTCCAGGGTATTAGACACTTTAGGACTTCATACGGACTCGTTTTTTTATAGAGTTACCTTTTCAGCTAAACTTGTCTTGACATCAAATTTATTACGTGATAAACAACACATCATCTTATATTCTTTAAAATTGTCAAAGAACAAGCTTTAATCAAATTTGAAAATGTATGTCCTCGAAATGGTTGCCATAATGAAACACTGCTTTATCACACCTTGATGCCGTTGTTGCTCTTCCCTTTCTCTTTAGGCAACTTGTCTCAGTGGCTTCTGAGAAGAGTGTCAGTCTGGGTGCCTCCAGTAGTCCACTCGGCCTGCCGATGCTGCCTGAGTCGCCTATTGACACTGCATCTCTTTCACCAAAAGCACCACCAGCTCAGCAACAGCGTCCACTGTCAGAACTCTCCTCTTTCAGGTACATCCCTACAATCAACAGCATTCCGATGCTAGCCCAACTGCTTGAGGAGGTGGACACGGCCAAATTCTATGCCTACTGCGAAGAGGTGAGGAGAAGGTGGATGGCGTTGTTAAGTATTTCGAGGAACTGGCGTGTGAAGATTTCATCTTGAAATGTCTAGAATACTTTAGTACAACAACCATTAACATATGTCCTTCTTCGGGTGCAAAAGCTCTTTGTAGTATCATTAGTTGCGACATAACGTTGATAAAACCTTTTTCAGCCGTAATCATTAACGATTCATGCGTTTTCTCTGGCATCATCTTAGTCTTTAGTTAGTAATAGTTTTGTTTGGCAATGCTCAGAAGCCCGATTGTTATTAAAATACGTTAATTTCCATCAATTGAAAGAAAGGCTTAGCAGACTCACTAAAGCTGTTGTCGTTTGACCATAATTGGGCTCTTGATGGCTGCGAAGTAAAACTCTTGCTAACACAGATAGACAGTAACGTTTCTAGAAGTGGGTTGACCTCGTTGTCGCAACTTGGTCTTGTTGTCAGGGCGACTTAGTAGATCGCACCTAGGTTTGCCACAAAAGGGCACACATT